TGTGGGGTAATACAGGAGGTGGAACCTATGGCTCTGCTCAAGTCCAGCCTGTCCTGACCAATAAAGTTTTATTGCAACACAGCCACGCCCATCAGGTACACACTGCCAAGGGCTGCTATTTCATGGTACACTGACAGTGTGTACATAGTATTTTCCAAGATAAAACACACAGGATGGCAGCTCCAGCTTGTGAAGATCCATGTCCCTGCAGGCAGAAGACACAGATGTGGCTGGGCCCTGGGAGAGAGCTGTCACCAAGGGCTGTGCCAGCAGGGTGCTCGGGGTGGGGCATGGTGGAGAGTTTCCAGAACAAGAATATTCTTTTGCTTGGCTTGAAATACTTCAATGCTGGAACAGCAACTAACCCTCATGCAGTAGGGGGTATTGTGCGCACCATGCTGAGTGATTATCTGTTTGCATTTCATTGTTTAATCTTTTAGTAGCCCTGAGCTGGGCAATGACCCACCCATATACTGGGCACTGAGATGCACATCTCACAGCTGGACAGTTGCAGAGCCTGGCTTCCAACTTAGGGGCCCCATGTCTGTTATACTTGCCTGTGACAGCGTGAGTGGATGATGAAGCCAAGCTCCACAAAGTCACCTGAGTGTGAAAGGTCCCAGCTGGTGAGTGACAGTGCCTGGTGTGACCCCCAATCTGCCCTGACCCCAGGCCATGTTCACACAATGCTACACAATGACCCACATCATGCCTCCCTCATACCCAGGGTTATAGCCACTGGTTTCCATGGAGATGAAGAGGTACCACCCCTTCCTGAGGGTGACCAGGCCTGCTGGCTTCTGAGACTCCTGAGGGACAGACATGACTGGGAGTTGGTGGCCACCAAGAGATGGGACCACAGCCAACTCAGGAAACCCAGGCATCAGGTGGGGCCACTGCTATGCAATTAGGTCAGCAGGTCTGGGTTCAGGGACAAGATCCGAGATAAGGAGCCCTCACTGGAAGTTGTGATTGACCATATGGTGACATTTAACGGCAAAGCCTGGAAGCTGTCACCACAGGAGAGGGCAATCAGGAAAGGAGATTGGCTGCTGCTGGGCAAGAAACACGGGGAGCAGCTTGGGCGGAAGAGCCCACGCAGTTCTGACTGGAGCACAATAGGGGTCTGTGCGCTCTGTGGACAGTGGCTTTGTCCTTTGTGGGAGCTCACAAGTCTACAGCTCTGTTTCAGTGTCTGGAAGGACTTTCAAATTGTGTAAGAACTCTTCCCACAGTGATTGACTAAAAACCAGATGTTCAGCAAAAGCTTCTGGTTCTCAAGGAAGTTAAAGATACATGTGTAATTTGCACAAAGCCTCTGATCTCCGGACCTTTGGAGCCACAGGGAGGTGGGACTGGCAGCATAGTGTCTCCCTAAGGTCTTTGTGTCCTTTCCCAAGTCTAGGATGTCCGAATGGGATCGATGTCTTCACACAGATGCTTCTGAGAAGACAGTCTTTGGGGTCAGAGAGAAATGTGACTCAGCTACCTTGCTGGCTTGAAGATGAAAGTGGGGACACAAGCTGAGGGCATTGGTGGCCTCAAGAAGCCGGGAAAGGCAAGAAGCACCATCTCCCTGGAGCTCTCAGAAGGAACCAGACCCAGCAATGTCTGATGGTAACCCTGGCCCCGGGACATGTGCTGTTCAATGCATCCAACATGTGGTAATTCTTTAGAGCCCTGCAGGACTCTTTCATCCGGACCAGGAACACAGGGACTTCAGATCCAGCAGGCACTGCAGCTGCCACATCTGCAGGGCCCGAGTGTGGCCGGCACCTGCGTGACAGGGTTGTCTGGACCAGTTGCTGCCTGTGTTGGGAAAGTCAGCCAGAAAAGGGAAACAGCATGATTTTCTCCACCACATTGGCCCTCTTCACCTGAACCCCGATTCCACCAGGCAGGGGATGAGGATGGTTTTTGAATGCAGACTCAGGGATTAAGAAATGCATCGTAGTCCCCTGAGAGGATGCTACTTCCAAGCCAGGCTTCACCTGCACAGTCACTGCCTACAGAACCTTCTGAGCCATCCTGGAGGGACTGAGCTGGTGATTGTAAATGAGCTCTTGAAGGTTGTCATGGGTGAGCATCTACTCAGGGTTCCGGGTTCTTAGTCAGTGCTGATGGGTTGATTGGCTGTGATAGAAAACAAGGATTTCCAAGTGCTTCCAAATGGTCTCCCTCTCTCCTTCCTGTCCTAGAAAACAATTTAAACCCACACTGAGCATGAAATACAATGTATTCCATTCCAAGTACAATTCTGCCCATTCAGTGTGTTCACTCAGAGAACGCAGGTTCTGCCAATGGACAGCTGTAAAGGAAGCTTTCTATTTATTTTTCCTTGAGATACAAGAGCTCGTTTTGTATCCCACTTTCCTGAGAGACAGGAAACACAGTCATTTACTTACTCAGAAGGAAAACAGAAGAGCTCCGGGCTCTGGCTGGACGGTGGACTGTGAGCGCTGTCTTCATGGCTTTCTGTGCTCCCCACTCTGTAGATACCCGGTTCTCTTCAAGGTCATGGGGCTGCCCAGAGGGAGTCTTTCATGACAGGGGAAGACAGGTGTGTTGGCAGGATCCACAGCCCTCTTCTTTGTCATTTGGGCGTGGCAGAGGATATTCAGCCCCTCTCTGCTGTGTGACCTCCAAAACCTGTCAGGCTGACCTCCCAGCAGGCGTTATAACTTCCAACAGGCTCTGAGTCCCTATTTTGGCTTCCAGACTCCCCAACACCCACACAGCCTCAGCCTGCACTGAATGATGACCCCCCCCCCCCAGTTGGCCTCTGAAAGCTGGAGCTTGGGAGACAGCTTGTGCGGAGCTAAACTCCACACCGCTCCTGCATTTTGGTCATGCAGGTGTCCAGCCAAGAAGCCATCCATGAGGACCCAGGGCCCCAACAGTGAGCACAGAGCAAGTTTAACTCACACAGGGCTCATCACCGAGTGGGGTCAGAGGTGCTACCCTGGCAGCTCTGAGTGCCAACTTCCATGTAAGTGGTTTCTATGGGATTGGACCACCCTGGAACTCACATTTCAGAAACTGAGAAAATCCTGGCTTTCTTCGGAGTCAGGCAGCACATCCTATCAACCAAGCCATGGAAGCTGTGGCTCTGTGGATTCCTAAAACCCCGCTGGGTCCAGAGCCCTGCATTAGGAAGGTCCCAGCCAGGGCAGGATTCTAGGCTACTGTTCCTGCTTTTGAGTCGAACCCCTCTCCATGTGGGGATCACAGAGTGCGGACTTGCTTTACATTTCAGTCTTCTGTGACTGAGGCCTCAGTGGACCTAACTGTGCTACAAACTCTCCAGCAGTGTTTTCCACTTGCTAGAGATCTAAAAATTGTGGAAGAGAAGAAGGAAGAAGAGGGCGGGGAGGAAGAGAGGGGAGGAGGAGGGAAAGCAAAGGAGAGGAGGAGGCAAGGAGCATGGTGGGGGAGTAGGAGGAGGAGGGGGAAGAGGAGGGGAAGAGGAGAAGAGGGGGTCAAAGAAGAGGCTGATAGGAGGAGGAGGAGGGAAAGGCGGGGGAGGAGGGAGAGGAGGAGAAAGAAGGGGGACAAAGAGGAGGAGAGGGGGAGGAGCAGGAGGAGGACAAGTAGGAGGAGGGGAGAAGAGTCCCAGAGCAGGGGCTCCCAGTGACTCCTCTACAGGCTCCTGTAGCAGAAGTGCCTGCTGGACAGTTACCTTGGGCTGCCTGGGCCTGACTAGGAAGACCAACTCCTGCAGGGGTGGTCTGCAGCCCCTCCCGCCTGCTCACCCAGGCCAAGCCCCGGGAAGCTCTGCCACCCACAAAGGCATCAGCTCACCTCCTGGCTTCCCCAGCAGGGGCTTGGCTCAAGGTTTTTCCTCTGCCCAAGAATCCTGAGGAGGAGCTCAGCTCTCCACGCTGTCCCTTTATCCTCTAACCACTCGCAAAGGTCCAGTATCCCCTCTGCGAGGACAAGGGCAGTCCTGATCCTGTCTTCTGGCTCAGAACCAGCTTTGGGATCCCTTATTTATGGGGTGAGTTCTGGGAGACCCCAAGGGCTGGGGAGTCAGGCATGCACACAACGCAACACCTGTGCTCATGGAGGCCTCAGGGCTTGGCTCCCCAGACACTTGCCACCAGAGGTCCGGGAGCCTTCTGACCTGTGCCGCATCAAGAAGGAGCCTCTGGCTGGGGCCTGGCTCCCGCCCTGACTCAGGATGCACAACACACCAGCAGCCCACATTGCTGTGCAGTGGGCTGTGCCACTGGTGCTTCTGGTTGGACTGCAAGGCTCAGCGGGAAATGGGGCTGACTGGCTTCCCCAGAGGTCAGCGTGGTGCCCATCTTGGGGCTCTGCCTGGGGCCACCACAGGCTCCTGACATTCAATGAAAGCCAAGGGGCCCCTTCAGAAACACCGCCTCCTCCTTTCAGAGATATGAGGTCCACTCCATGACTGTCCTCCAGGGTGAAATACCATTCAGGACAAAGCCCCCCTGAGAAGCCCACCCGCTGCTGTAAGCAGCAGGTGACAGGTCCCTTGGAGCCTGGCAGTGCAGCAGGCATCCAGGCTGATGGACACTTGGCCCTGAGGCAGGGCCCTGAGGGAGATGCTGGTGGCAGCTTCTGGTTTTGCCTTCTCATCTGGAGAAATGGCTCATCAGCCAGCTCTGCCTGCAGCCAACCAAGCCGGCCATGTTCCCTTTGCTTTGAAACCCACACAGCCCAGGCCAGCCACACATGGGTGCCCCTGACTGCTGGAGCTCTGCGTCAAGGCTCGCCCATGGGGACACTAGCCCTGAGTGGACCAAGTCCTAGTTTGTCTGTCAATACAACTTAGCTGCTTCTCTTTTGATTTTGAAGATTAGCATGATTTCTTACGCTATGGTTAAATAGTTTTGCTATGTATTTTTTTAAATGCAGAGTTTGTTTTCCTTTGTGAAAATCTGAACCAGAATACAGGCGTGTACCATGACATACCTTGTCATCCTCAATCAATTCCCCCTTTTCTTTAATGAAAACTTTTCTTTTTTAAAAAATTTTTATTTTAAAATTTCTTTTATTTTAAAGAGATTAAGACAAAACAGAACATAACAAAGCAGATCAGAATAGAACAATGTAAGCAACACAATATTTCACCAGAACACAACCTGTAATTGACAGTAACTGCGATAATGTCTCTTTCTTTGAAATAGTTGAGCATAACTTCATATATGATAGTATCAAACATAAGAAAATAGTATAAAACAATTCAAGAGAATGTAAGTATTACAGGGCATTCAGAACCAAATAACAGAAAATGAACAACGGCTACTGTATTACCTCATTTTCCATAGAAGATTTGTTTATACTATAACATGTAATACAATCTAATAAGATACAACATGATAGAACCAATGGAAACAGAAGAGCAAAAGCTTAGTAGGACTGCAGAATAAGATGATATTAAATCAGCACTGGCTATTATAATGACTTGTTTTCTTTAAAATACCTGTTCATACCATCTTAGATAATAAACACTAAAGAAACCAGGATAAATCCATTCCAACGAATGAATGTGATCATTATAAGGCTTCAAAGCAATGTAACGGCAATCCTGATTACCATAAACTCTTATGTGCTCCTACCATTTCTTACACTAGGGAGACTATATGGTACTTGTACATGTGAGTTTATTTCAATCATGAGTATGGTGCAACTCAAGTTGCACCCATTTATTAATAAATATCTCAATGTGATCATTCTTGATAGCTGAATAGTATTCCATTGCATAAAAATAGCACAACTTTTTTTATCCATTCCTCAGTTGATGGACACTTAGGTTGTTTCAAAGATCTGGCTATTACAAATTGTGCTGCTATAAACATGGGTGCACATATATCACTGTGGTATGATGTTTTCAGTTCTTGTGGGAATAAGCGTAGACGTGGAATAGCTGTGTTGAATGGGACTTCCAACCCCAGCTTTTTGAGGAATCTCCATATGACCTCCAAAGTGGTTGCACCATTCTACAATCCCACCAACAGTGCAGGAGAGTTCTTTTTCCCCCACAGTCTCTCCAGCATTTGTTGTTGGTAGTTTTCTTGATCCTGGCCATTCTTTCTGGAGTGAGATGGAATCTTAGCGTGGTTTTAATTTGCATTTCTCTAATGATTAATGATGAACATTTTTTTCATGTATTTATTTGCCATTTGTACTTCTTCATCTGGGAACTGTGTATTCATCTCAGATGCACATTTTTGGATTGGGTCTTTGAATTTCGGAGGTCTGATTTTTTTAAATTCTTTATATGTTTTTGACAGAAGTCCTTTGTCTGAGGGACAGTTCACTAAGACTTTTTCCCAGTTTGTGGGTTTTCTTTTCATATACTGGAGATTTCTTTTCACATGCAGAAACTTTTTAATAAGAAGTGATCCCAGCTATTGATTCTGTGAAGCAGTTCCCATGCGGTTTGATTTCTGTTTATCAATTCTCTACCTACCCCTATGTCTTCAAGATTTTTACTTAGTCTTCCAACAGATTTAGTATTTCTGTTTTAATATTCAGATGTTTGCTCCACTTAGATTTCAGTGTAGTGTATGGTGATAGGCATGGGTCTAGTTTTAGTTTTTGGCAAATAGAGAGCCAGTTTTTCCAGCACCATTTATTAAAGAGACTGTCATTTTTCCAGTGTACATGTTTGGCCCCTATATCAAAGATAAGGTTGTTGAGGGTGTTGGTAGTTGTGGTTGTATCTTCTAATCTATTCCATTGATCTTCAGATCTGTTTTTATTCCAGTACCACGTTGATTTTATTATAGTAGCTTTGTAGTCTAACTTCAGGTCAGGGATTGTGGATTGTCTGCCTTGCCTTTGCTGCTTAGAATTGTCTTTGCTATTCTAGATCTCTTCTGGTTCCAGATGAATTTGAGGAGTGATTTCTCTAGATCTATGAGGTATGTTGATGGTATTTTCATCGGGATTGCATTAAATCTATATAACAATTTTGGGAGAATGGCCATTTCCACAATATTTATTCTTCCTGTCCATGAACAAGGGATGTCTTTCCAATTTCTGAGATCTTCTTCCATTTCTTTTCCAGGGTATTATAATTTTCCCTGTATAGACCTTTTACATCTTTCATGAGATTAATTCTTAAGTATTTCATTTTATTCAATGCTAGTGTGAAGTGTGTGGCTTCTCATTTCTCTCTCTGTGATTTTTTATTAGTGTATAGAAATGCTATTGATTTTTGAGTATTAATTTTGTATACAGCCACATTGCTGAATTTATCTATTATATTTCAGAGTCTTTCAATGGAGTTTTGGGGTCTTCAATGTAGAGTATCATGTCATCTGCAAATAATGGTAATTTTACTTCCTCTTTTCCTGTCTTTACCCCTTTTATTTGTCTCTCTTGTCCAATTGCTCTGGCTAGAATTTCCAGTATTATGTTGAATAAGAGCGATGATAAGGGACATCCTTGTCTTGGACCTCATTTAAGGAAAAGGCCTTCAGTGCTTGGCTATTTAATAGGATACTGGCTCTTGGATTTTCATGGATGGCCTTTATCATATTGAAGTAAAGACCATCTACTCCAATTTTCTGTAAGTTTCTTACCATGAATGAATGTTGGACCTTATCAAAAGCTTTTTCTGCATCTATAGAAATGATCATGTGATGCTTACTTTTGGCTTTATTGATATGGTGCATTACATTTATTGATTTCTGTATGTTGAACCATCCCTGCATGCCTGGGATGAATGCCACTTGGTCGTGGTGTATAATCTTCTTGATGACTTGCTGCATCCTATTTGCCAATATTTTATTGAGGATCTTTGCATCTGTGTTCATTAGGGAGATTGGCCTGTAGTACTCTTTTTTAGTTGGGTCTTTCTCAGGTTTTGGTACTAGAGTAATACTTGCTTCCAGGAATGACTTAGGAAGAATTGCTTCCCTTTCAATTTCATTGAAAAGTTTGAAGACTGTTGGCATTATTTCTTTATATTTCTTTTGGAATTCTGCATTGAGTCTTCCTGGGCCTGTGCTTTTTTTGTAGGTAAGGACTTAATTACATTTTCAATTTCATTAATAGAAGTTGGGTTATTCAGCAGTTTTACATCTTCTTGAGCTAGCTTTGGTATTTCATATGTTTCTAGGAGTCTGTCCATTTCTTCAGTGTTGTTGAACCTATGAGAGTGGAGGTTTTTTTTTTTTTTTTTTTTTTTTTTTTTTTTTTTTTTTTTATCAGTACCAGGGATCGAACTCACGACCATGTGCTTGTGAGGCAAGGGCTTATGCCACTGAGCTAAATTCCCAGTCCCTGAGAGTAGAAGTTTTTGAAATAGGTGTTGATGATCTTCTGTATTTCCACAGAGTCTGTAGTGACTTCACCTAATTCATTCTTTATTGCATGAATTTGATTTTTTTCTTTCTTTTTCTAAACTATGTTGGCTAGAGGCTTATCAATTTTATTTATTCTTTCAAAGAACCAACGCTTTGATTCATTGATTCTTTGGATTGTTTTTAGTCTCTATTGCATTAATTTCTTCTCTGATTTTTAGAATTTCCTCCTTTTAGCTTTGGGCTTGACTTGCTCTTGTTTTTCTAGATGTTTGAGGAGTAGCCTGAGCTGGGAGCAGGCAACGTCCTGGGGTAGGGATTGACTCCTCAGTGCCATTAGGCAACCCTCCCCACTCTGTGGGCACAGTGAGCAGCTTCCACCTAGGATTTAGGAAGCAGGCATCACCTGACCATCTGCTGGCACCTTTGGACTTCCTGTCCTTCAGAACTGAGAAACAGATCCCTGTGATCAGCTCCCCAGGTTACGGTGGGTCACTACAGCAGTCCCAGGGGCCTCTGAGAGTAACATCGTACTACTGAGCATAATACTAGCAGTTTAAAGGAATCTTTGTACTAAGTCCTCTTTCTTCAATCAGTTTCTGTGTGTCTTAGTTACTTTTCTCTCATTGCTGGAACAAAACACAAGACACTCAAAATGAAGGTAGGAAAGGTTTTTGTCTTACAGTTCTTGGAGGTTTCAGTCCACACTCATTTGGCTTCAAGGCAGGGTGGCATGGCAAGGCTGAAGTTCTTGACAGCTGCAAACAGTAAGCTAGACTCGCCAGAGAGAGCGACACACCCCCTATGCACCTTTACATCACATCCTGGCTCCACCCCTGGGCGGGTGAAGCACTCAAACACTAATCCAAGTGCTAGAGGCCAACTAATCACAACTGCTTAATTTGGTTGCATACATAATTCCATGAGGCTTGGGGACCACTGACATAAACCATGACACTATGGAATATTTTCCATACAGTGCCAAACATTTCTTGCCATCTTTCTATTACTTTTTTGTCCTGATCACATTGTTATTATATGATATTATATTGTACTATATTATATTATACCAGGAATGGTGGTGGTGGGGACCAATGATGTCAATCTATCAGTAAAGGATAAGCTGCTTTATAAACAATAAGTTGGATTTTTTAAGATTTATTGATGGATCCAGCAGGGATGAGCCATCACACCTCAGTGGACACCCATCCTTCCAGCACTTTGGCATTCTGGTTCAGTTAGGTTTGAAGCCCGGCATAGACACAGTCTAGATGTTCAGTGTGGGGAAAATTCCTTATTTTTTCTAAACTTGTCACAAGATTGCTGTCCCAGTGTCATGTAGCTAGGATTAGATGAGGTAATCTGGCAGACAGGATAGGAAGTGCTTCCTACAGGGCAGCTATCATTTTCACAGTGACTGGCCTTCACCTAAACATGTCCCACCTTGTGGTGCTATTCATTGTCATCTTCTGGGGTGTTTATGCCTGCTGTGTTCCTGCTGACAGTGGGATTCTCCACTCCTCCTCTAGGAGATTTTCTGTCTGGCTCTCTTTATTATGTAAAGTATCACTTAAATTCTCAATTATTTTCTTTCCAATATTTCTTGATGTTACGAAGACAATACCACCTTTAATGTTGTTCTAGCATTTTTAAAGTTAGAAACATTTATTGACATCATGCAGAATGACTTTTATTATCACCTTAAGCTTTGGCTGTGAGAGGCAGAAAGCCTAATATGAAGCACAAGAAATAGGCCAGGTGTTCCTCTCTCTTTTATGTGAGTCAAACCCGGACATGAGCAGGTTCTGAGTAGGCTCTTCATCCTCAGAGGCCTCAGATCCTTTGATGTCTTGCTCTTGTCCATTTCACCTTGTGTGTAGCTTTGACTTCATTGATAAAAATGATCCCTCCAGATCTAGGCTTCTTTTCTCCTTTCTATTGGCAGAGGGAAAGAAATAGAGCAAAGGTCACCAGTTCTCAGAGAACACTGCTCAGGCTCTGGTCACCCGAATTTTCCTTGTAACCTGTTGGATAGGTTTTCATATGGCCCCACAACAGTGCACAGAGAAGCTGGGAAAGTTAATCTTTTCCTTTCTGTGTCATTACATCCTGTTAAGAGTGTTGACACTTGACACATGCGTAGGGTCTGGCGTGGCCAGGCCATGGTTGAACTGAAAATGAGAAGACACCTCAGGGGGCAAGATAGCTTGAGGCCGCCCCCACATCACAGCCTTGCCCCTGTATTCAGCTTCAATGCTCTCCAATATGTCCCTCTTTTTGTTTTGTTGATACACAGGACAGGGAGCCAGCAGAAGCTAGAGAAGCTGTGTTAGGAGAACTCTCACAATTTAAATTCTGTGTGGTCCATCAGCTCATAACAGTAGCCAGTTACCAGAGGAGCCAGCAATTGTCAGGGGTTGTTAGTGATCCCAGCTTCCCCACATCCAACTTTTACTTGGCATCACACCTCTGGAAGTCACACTTTTCTGCAGGAGGTTCAAGACCAAGCTAAGATGAGATCTGCATTAAATACAATCAGGTTCTTACTTCCTATTTGGTCAGTGAGGTCTCCTCAGGAATTATCTTAGGACCATGCCCAGCATCTCTTGGCTCTTCTAGTGGTGTCAGCCATCTGCATGAGTCATGGCCATTGCTTGACCAAGTTGCTTTCTGTGAAAACTTGGGAGAGCTTTCTCCTGATGACTCTCCTTAGGCACAGCAAACATTGAAGATCACTTTCCTCTGTGGTTTCATCATCTTCTAGATCAGAAGCCAGGGGACTCACTGAGTATCTTAGGATGACACAAGCAGAGGTTGTTTTGTGTCCTGGGTCCCCAATGACCATGAAGGGCTAGGGCCAAAATATGGCTAGGATTTTAGCCCATCTGCCTCTAATTTTTTGTCTCTAAACCTCAGCTGTTGAACATCCAGAAGAAAAGATGGACAATTATAGAGAACATTATAGGTAGTAAGCTTAACATTACTCTCATCTAAACATGAAGCACCTTAGAACATCCAATGAAACCTATTATGTACTATCCATGGGTATTTTAGCATTAGAATACCAATAGTGTTAACAGTTACATACTTTACACAGTAAGTCAGGAATTAATACTGTGCATATTATTGTATCATGACAATCATTACATTTTTACAATAATCCAAATTTCTATTTTGACCTAAAATATCTCTTTTTCAATCACCGTTGTCTAATACATAATAAGTATCTATCCAGCTTGTTGACTTTTAGCGGAATCTCACAAGTTTTTGGTACCAGCAGAGGTCTGAACAGGAAACACAAGTCTGTTACCATAAGAAATCCCTGATTCACAACATGGGAGCCCTATGCATCCAGAACCATGAATACATCCAGTATATCAGGAAGTTGATAGCAGTCAATTATCACAGCCATAGGAAATCATTGCACATGGATTTTCAAACCAGAAGCTTATTGTATTATTTCTTTTGGAGAATGACCAATATGAATACATAACAATAATATGCTTTATAACTGTTAGTTGGAGTGTCTCTTTACAAGACCATGGAAATTACTGGCGTCTTTCATCAATAAACAAGAACTGGTTAAAAATGTTACCAGGCAACTGCTTTCTTATTTATTCATTAGAGAGCTGCCCAACAATCCCAATTATAAGGGATTTTGTTACTTATCCTAATAATGTTATTTTCCTTTTCTAAATAATGAGACTTCGAACTCCATGATTTTAACATATTATACTTCTATACTCAATCTTTGCCTCCTTTGGACCAGCTGGCAACCAAGGAGAAAGCATGCTTTAAATCTATAACCCAATGAATTTTTGGTCAAATGATCCAAAAATGGAAAAAGCAAAAATTATTGAGTTCAAAATGAAAGGAACAGCTTTTCACAGAGCAGACAAATGAACAAATATAGACGGATGATCTGTTACAGATTCAAACCCAGAAACAAGTACACAGCTTGTCAGGGTCTGTGAGAACCCTTTAAGTTCCCCAGGGGCCACTAAGTACTGCCACCTTTTCCCCTTGCTAAACGGGCTCACAGACTCCTCTCCCCCCCACCATGCTCTCAGGGCATTTCTAGGTGTTCTAGGCCACATGGGTTCTTGTATGGGCATTTTTGCTTTTTGCTCCACACATGTAAATGATCACGAAGCTCAGGAATTCCTAGCAACTGCTTAGGAGAAGACTACAGAGAACAGACACACAGATGGACTGACAAACATCTTACAAAATCGTAGTGCACTCAAACATTTCCTTAACCAAAATGAATTACAATAACTTTTTGCAAACTTAGAATCTACAACTATAAATCGACCAGCCCCATTAGTTATAGGCCAATTAGCAGAGATCTCATGGGAAAGGATCTTGGAGAGGACTGTGGGGTTCTGCAAGTAAAGAGAAAATAAGGGACATAGACACCAAGGGTCAGCAAAAAGGCGCCTCCTGGCCGCCATAACCAAGCGGCTTTCATCTGAATTACCGCCAGGTGAGTGGGGTAAATGTAATCATTCAACAATAAATTTCTTGCTACTCTGGATGCAACAACAGCCCCAGTGGGCAAGGGGCTGACAGAAAAACGAGCATGGAGAGAGGGCAGTCCTTCGGGACTTGACCCGCCACAGCTGTGGTGCCTGTGTGAGCACTGCTCTGAAGGGCCTGCTGTAGAGGAGGACAGTCAGACATCAGCAGGATCTGTGTCACCCCGTAAAACATCGAAAAGAAGAGCTAAAACCTGAAAAGGAAAAGTTGTCAATAGCTAAGAGAGACTTGGGCATTTATTCATCTCCCAGGAGAGTGTAGCAGAAGCCATCATGGTGGATCCAAATCCTTGATATCCACGAGTAACATCACGAGCTTTAGAGGAGATATAAGGCAAGACAATTAGTTGAGCTACAGATTCAGAAACATTCAGCTGAATGGGCAGGAGAGATCACACTTGAAGAACAACATTCCAGTACAATCAGCACTCCAACTTTCAAAGCTGGGCTCTTGTCCTTGTTGACACAAAACAGGACAAGCAATTAACTCCCCATGTGTTTATCTTCTTGGGCCAGCATTTACATGGGAGTTAGAACCAGTGGGAAGTTACCCAAAGGCTTTACAAGGCTTGCGTCTTGTGGTGGCAGTGGCGAGGGGGCAGAAGCATATAGTGGAGAGGTGGAAGCAACAGAAGTGACACCCCAGGGTAACCAGGAGACTAACCAAGGGGTGTTCCCCAAGTGGTACCAAATGTTGTCACAGCATCCCAGCAAAGATGCCAGGTGTGCAAGACAGAGACTGAAGCTCGAGGCTCCTCAGACAGCAGTTTTCCTGTCTTGTTGCAATCCTCCATGATGAGCAACCCCCTTCAGGATACGAAGGGCGCTGGATCAGGTCATGACTTTCCAAGAGGGGCATCACAATATCCCTGGAGGTCACAGGGCCTGCCTTGCTGAGAAGGAAAAGCAGCGCTGCTTTGTGGTTCTGCTGGGCTTCAGACAGAGCATTCCCCAAGACTTACCTTTTGAAGGCGTGTTCCAAAAAAATGAAGATAAAATAGATGCGTGTCAGGGCTGTGTTTCACCCCAGGAACACAGTGAAGGAAGGTCACTGTCCACAGTTGACGTCTCTACTGTACAGTCCCTGTTTTGGCGCCAAGCTGTTGTGGTGTGTACCTAGAGCCCCAATTATCCTGATGGGTGCACAGTGAAGGCTCAAAGGAATGAGACACGCGGCATGGCCTTTAGGGTTGCAGGAGGGAAATCCTCAGCAGAGCTCCTTACTCTGCGAGCGGCCTGCAGAGCAACCCTGGCAACAGGTATTTAATCAGAACCAGCAAGGAGTTCAGTGGACAACAGAGGAAACCTCAACAGGATCTTGGGAAGGGTTCAAGGACCCCTCAGAGCAACAAATGAGGCCAAATAAGGAAACCTATCCAGAAAGTCTCCAGGTGGCCTCAGCTGTGGCCCATCTTGAATCTGAGGTGTCTCATTCTCAGTTCAATCATGCCCAGGCCGTGGTGACCGTGCTTTTTTATACCCACAGCATGAAATCCCTACTTTGATTCCATAAGAATACATTCTTTCATTTGAAGATAGATTATTCGTGTTTATTTAGGGAAATATTTTGAAGTTTTACTCTCACATTTGGTCTTTAATCTATATCATACTGAGTTTTACATGCTGGATGAGATAGGTTAACTATCACTTGATCTTCACAATGTGTCTGGCAGTTCTTTTAAACGGGGTTGGCCAAACAAAAGCATTCCAGATCCATATTGTCTTGAACAAAGTTGGATACAAAACCAAGGTGAGGGGAAGGTGGGTTGAAGCAGAACTGCAGACCCCAGGGAGAAGAGCGAGGTGCATGTGGGAGAGTTTCCATGACTGACAGTCTGGAAGCTTAAGGCAGAAATCCCGGGCTTCCCTAGCTGTGGGCACGAATTCCTCTTCCTGAGAGTAGGGTGGGGCTCTGGTTCCCAAGCCTGGCTTTGTGCAGAGCACAGAGAGGACCAGCAGGCAGCAGTGCCCTGGGAGTAAGGGTGCAGTTAAAAGGGCCAGCGCAGGAGACCGATGTTCCCAAGGCCACCACTCGTGGGTCACTGGTGTTTCAGGGAAAACTGAGTCAAAAGGAGCCAGAAACGTATCAGGTACAAGGCAACTGTATTGACACTCCCAGAGGAGTACTCTACTAAGTCCACAGATTTATTACATAGGCTGATTACAGAGAGCTTTTAAAAAACTTTTCTTAAAATAGAGTGCCAGAAGCTACTTGAAAAAGCTAAGCTTTAGCCAAAGGCCACGGTGCAGTGGGTATCTTGTGGGGAGCCTCAGAGGCATATACTTTGGTTTCAGTCACTTTGGTTAGATCTCTAGGCAAAGACACTTTGGATCATCTTTCCTTTCAAGGATCCTCGTGGAAGTCCCTTCATTATAAAGAGAAACACGTTTCCGCATCTGGTACTGAGCACTGAACCCGGAACCTGCACACTGAGCCACATCCCAGACTTTCTAAATTGAGGTAGGGTCTCAGTAAGTTCCCAGGCTGTGGTGGAATTTGTGATTTTCCTCCATCAGCATTCCCGAGTCCTGTCATTATCTTGTGCAATACCAAGCCTAGCTGAAACACCTCTTTTGAGGTATCAGAGAGAGGATTGAGATCCTTCAGAACTGTGCTTCTCTGTGGACTCTGTAAATCTTTTCAGATTCAATTGGATCAGAGGAGTAATTTTAATAATCTAGATTTGGCCAGCTCTGAAATAAATAGCTCAGGTAAATGTCTGCATCATAAATGCAGTTTAGTTTGTGAATAACTCTTAAGATACTTCAGGAGCCCTGAAAGGAAGAGCTTGACAACCATCAAAATGACACAGCAGTGTTGCAGAGTTTGTATGAAGCAAAAATAGCCAAGTTAAGGCATCAACATCGGGAGGAAATATGCAAACATAAGGAAATCGCCCAGGTAAGGCCTCTCTGAAGATAGTGAAGTCCCAGTTAACACAGCCTGGGCAGTGGACAGCACAATGGGAAACGTGCTACAGGGACAGCTGGCGTTTCCTGTGGTTCCCTCTGGAGTGCGGTGCTTGCTGTCAAAGTGGAGTGTGCTCCACCCACTCTGCTGAAATACGGGATTCTGGGCTGTGCGACCCCGATCGTCTGTGCCAGAGGAAAGCTCTTGCACAGCAGAGTGTAAACAAAGCGCTGGGCTGTGTTCCCATAGAGCTGCATTGAGAGATACAGCCTTGGACCTGCCCTGGCCCCCTGGTGAGAGTTTGTGAATTCCCGCTGCAGGGCTTAAGACTTGAAAGTATATAACCGTGACCACGTGATGCCTGTGCCTTACATCTGGACGACCACGCTGAAGAGGAGAAGGAGAGAAGTCTGACATCAATGAAGAAGGAAGAGCTAGCAGGGCTCAGAGAACCACAGCGTCCCTCTTCCACGCGGGACGCTGGGGACTCTGAAGAGACAGCTGCAGCCCTGCACTGTGAGAAACAGTGCCCGTGAACAGACCTGAACAAGAAGGCCAGGGAACACCGCATCATTCCAAGAAAGTACAACAAAGTACTGGAACTCATGGCCACTAAACAAGGCATCACCAGGCTGCATAGGAGGTAGGGAAGGTAGTGACCATGACTTACAGAGTGAAGCCATGCACAGCTCAGCTCCTCCCCACTTATGCAGGATATTATGTATGGTATCGAATGAGAGAAAACAAGGAAAGCATAGAATCGAAATTGTCACACCAGATTTTCTAAAATGCTCCAAGAAAACGAACTAGGATGCAGTTCCCTGAAGGGAAAGGGTGTTGGTTTGGAGCAGGTAGGGCCCAGAAAACAACAGCTTAATTCTGGGTGCGGCCTTGGTGGGAATCTCAGGGGACTGGGACATTTTACATTGATAGTGGCCTGCTAGAGGACCATTCTTGTGTGTGTTTAGAGACATTTACTTCGCGGTGGTGTGATTCCCTTAAAAGGTTTCCTATACAGCATCTGAATGTGTCTTCCTCACATTACGAGATGTTTTGAAATATTATGCTTAGAAGAATAAGTTTTTAATCATCCTACTAATTAGAGAAAAACTATTTAGGTGCAATTCATGTATTTCTGTTTTGTACTTCTTTTTATTTTTCCAATCCATTTTGTTCATAGATAAAAAGAAGAAAGTAAAAAACTACCACAAAAGTTTAAAGTACATCCCGGGTAACAATGGTGTATACATTGTACATTGCCCTCTAACTCATGTTGTCGGTGTCGCTCCCGGCCGGCAGGAAGAACACACGACAAGATCTGGCAGTGGCTAGGCTCTCTTTATTTTCCTTCTCCGCACAGTCTGCCCCGGGATTCTTCCCGGCCGAAGCCTCTACCGGTCCGCTCCCCGCGGCTCCTTTCGTGCTTCTCTTCTTGTGGCGGGAGAGGCACTCGCTTATATGCAGTCACAGCACCCAATCAAAGCGAAGCGGGTAATGCAAGCTAATTGGCTAACATCAATTGTTGCTAGGCAGATTATTCTGTGAGGCAGGCTGTTTACGCGGCAAGGACACCCAGGAAGCAGGACGCAGGCGCCATCTTGGCGCCCTCGATGGGAGGGGTAATCTAGCTCAGGCTTTGCTCTTTCCCACAGGCCCCATGGCTGTTATGCATGGTGGCCTAGCATAGCCGCGGCTCCCAACATCATGTATTTCTTTACAGCAGAAATATTCAGAGGAACATTGAGCTCATAAATTCAATTCTAGGCCTGCATCAGGGCTCTCGGTCATTTTGAGATTCCTGTAGGACAGAGGAGCGCTGTGAAACCCACACTATATCACTTCCACTGAGCTGCATCCAAAATGCCTGTGCCTCAGTGATCCTTGTCTGTGTGGATTGTGTGTGTGTCACTGAAAACAAGTTTCTGGAACCAGAAATGACTACTACACAGGATCCAGCACTGCAAAGCAAAATGCTGGGGACCCGAAAATCTGACTTGAGGGGTCAGTGGTCCCCACCCTGGCATCTGAAGTGTGTGGCATGAGAGCAGCACAGTGAGCATATTAGGCTGTGTGTGTCCTCACCAGGCTCTGTGACGTGTGGGCCGCTCTACATACGCTGTTGTTTTCCAGTGCCCAGTATTGGACCCAGAATAATGACACTCAGCTACATTGTCACACAGTTTCCTCTCATCTGTCCTGCGATGGCATCTGGCTAATTTGCTAAACTGTTCAGGCTGGGCTCAAACCAAGGCACAGATCACCACACTCAGCTCTACATGCTGATATTAAACCTCCTTACAGAGCTGTGACGGGCCGGGCCTGGCTGGATAGGTGTGAAATTTCAGCACTCTTGGAGGCTGAAGGAGGTGGATTGAAATTTCCAGCCCATCCTGGACTTTAGTGTGACTCTGCCTCTAAACAAAAGAAAACCATACCAAATCTATGAATGTAGATTACTCAGTAGCAAACAACTAAACAAAACAAAACAACAACAGCAACAAAAGAACCACAAAATCAAACTGTGCTAGTTTTAATTACTGTGTTATGTGCTGCTTAAGAAGGCTTAGTGAGGATGTGGCTGACCCTAGCATGGTGGATGGTTCTAGGACTTACTTGGTGGTGCGGTTTTTGTGTCATTTCTCTACTTTGCACAGTAAATGTGTGAAAAAGAGATGACAGGCTGAACAGTGGCCTATCAAGGAAAGCTTTTCGCTCATTTAAAAACTCCCAGACAGAAGATGCAAAGAACTGGACTTCTTGGCCAGCTCCCTTTTTCCGCTGGGCCTCGATATTCTGGCCAGTCAGATCCACTGATGCCTGTCAGCACCAGGGTCTTTCTGCCTCAGAGATGCCAGCTTTGGGGGTTCTGGTCTCTGCAGGAAAGAGACCCAGAGGGTGGAGCACCCTGGTCACACCGCCCAGCAGGGGGCGCCATGTCTCCAGGTGTGAGGGGAAGAGAGACAGGAGAGCAAGGAGCTTTCTGGTGCCCTGTGCACATTTGCTCTTTGCAGGTTTAGGATTCGACTTACTCTTTCACTTTACTGACATTTACTCATGGAAAGAGTGCGAGTTTGTTGAGGTTTTCTACCTTTTAGGATGCTTCCTGAGCTAGATTTTAAGTACTGTATTACTCAGGATAATTAATAGACGTTAAACATTTGCTTCTGATTTTCTCTATAATTTAAAGAGATGTTTCTGTAAGTTGAGCTTCACTACTCCAAAACCTAATTACCCCGAATTCCAGGGCTCTGACTTTCTAGATTTTACATTTTTGGATTAGGAGTGCCACCCAGTGAAGTCTAATGAAATATTCCAAAATAACACATCTGAAATTGAAGATAGTTTTTGTCCCAAGCATTTTGGATAAGAAATAGTGAGCTTGTATTTTGACTACAATCAATAATATCTTTTTGGTGAACAAAGTATGTTGTCAAAAAGTCTTCAAAACGATTTCATTTTTCATATTTGCTGTAAAATGAAAAAAGGTGAGATGTAAACGCTTTGGAAATTAACTGGGCTCCCTACCCAGGAGGATGCACTGAGAACAGGAATACAGGTGCCGTCCTTTGGTGTGACTGATTTATGTTGGGGTGCCTTCTGTGTATCATTTCCTCTTTGCCAGGAGATAGCGTTTCTCTGTGATGTCCAGGCTGGCCCTGACCTGCTAGGTGCAAGCGATCCTCCTGCCTCAGCCCCTGCTGAGCAGCTGGGACTCCAGCCTCCTGCTGTCCTGGCCAGCTTCTATGTTGTTAAAAAACTGGAAAGTTTCCATGAAATCTTAATAGAATCCTACACTGCATACTCATTTCAGATGTGCGTTTAAACCAGAAAGGAATTCAGAATGGCCAGCCTCACTGTAGGTCTCCTGTGCCTGATGAACAGGATCTCAGCCATCTTCCCCTCAGGAGCATGAAAGGGGCCATCTATTCCAGCACTATGGAATGAATTAAGTCTGTAAACCGAGGTACCCGTATATTTCCTCCTCAGGTTCTAGGGATTGAACCCAGGGCCTACTCATGGAGATATAACCCCAACTCTTTTTTTAATTTGTCATTTTCAGAGAAGGTCTTATGAAGTTGTCATGGCGGAGCTCAATCTTCCTGCATCAGGCTCCCTGCATGATGCACGGCAGGTATGCACCACCACGCCAGCTCTGTTATTTTCTTCTGAGACTCTGCATAATAACCATGGCCACAATGCATTATGCTATCTGAAGAGTTTTGACTTATAAATGCAAGCATCCTTCCAGCTGTGCTGTGCAGCTCTGTGCCAAGGTGCCCCGAGTCCTGGTGCATCTTAAGCCTAAGCCCAGCCGTCCCCGGTTCTGGGAGACTGTCCAGGCCACAGGTGCTCAGAGGAGGCTCCTGAGTGCACAGACGGTCACAGCTGCACTCACACCTCAATGGGACTCGGTAACTGCAGCCGCAGCCCTAAGAAGTTTCCTCCACTTCCCCTCCATAGAAGGCAGCAAACCGTGTTCCGTTGACAACTTCATTGTCTCACTTAACATACTTGTGACATTTTCATCTTCACACTGTTTGAAACATCTCTGCTTTAACTATCGTCATTATGCTTCCTTTACAAATAAAGTTCTACTGTTAGGATCTTGTAGAAACCTGGGTTCACTTAGTAAAGTATGATTACTGGGTCATCTTAGAGAAGGCTTTATGCCTTTCAAAGCTACAAAGCTGAGAACAGGCCGGATGTGGTGTGTAAAACTCTCCTGCACCATGTGGATTTCATAGGTAGAGATCAGCCTTCTGAAGGCACCACAGAGTGCCCTGCAGGATGAGCTGCTGAAGCTGCAGCCAGCTGCTCAGGCTGTGCCCCCGGGGCCAGTGGTGCACCAGCACCCACTGCATCGTCCTCTGTCAGCTCTGGTCCCTCCTTAGACTTCAGTGCTCTGTGCTGCGGACAGAGACTTTGCACCCCTGCTTTCACGTCGGCAGCAGGAGATCAACAGCTCACCCAAGGAAGTCTCAAGCCTTGATTCTGAGGTTGTCCAGGGAGGTAATTTGGATGAGTGTAGAAAACCAGAGGAACTCGAGAGTGCTGCCATCCAGGAAGGGATGCGGGGAGCATTTGGGGTCAGGTATCCTCCCAGACTAGGAAACAGAAACCCTTTATTGCACTTGGAACTTGGGCAGGGGCCACGTGATTTCGGGGCTTCCATTCTCAGCTTCAGCTTGCTTTTCTGTAAAATACTTGGGAGAAAAAATTTCAAAAAATGTAAGGCAACACATCCATTTTAAGGCCCTGATTTGAGGGGTCCACTTTTCCCCTAGAGACTCTCAGAATTCTCTGCTGGGAATGCCAGGACTCCAAGGATCTGTGTGTGACACTCTTGCCATGGAGTTTTTGTGAGGTTTTGTTCACTTTTCGGAGGGTAAAGTGAAAATCTGGTAATGGAGATCATAACTAGGCTAAACTACTTCATGTTGGTTCTCATGCATGAGGGATTAAATTCTTCCTATTAGGCGCTCTGAGCTTTCTTTCTTCCAAGGATTGCTTTCTATCATTCACATCAGCTTCTATAAACTGTGGAGCTGGCAGTAGTCAGGAGACTTGGATTAAACATTGGCTTGGATTTCACTGCCTCAGTGCAAAACAGAAAAGCGTCCAAGGTGTGTCAGTTCAGAGGTTCATGTCTATCTGTTTACAAATGAAACCGAGTTCTTACCAACTCCAGTCGCCGGCTTGTTTCACATGCCCAAGGCTCAAACAGAGCACCCATCTGTCCTGTTTACCCTAAAGTAGCTGTGACTCTTGGCTTTTGTTGGAAGAATGACTTGGAGAATTTGAAAATGTTCTAGATTTCACGTCCAGCCTGAAGAGAGACTGTGATGCAGGGGTTCAGAAATTATTTTCAAAATACATCTTTTGAATGAAAATCTTTTTAACAGATACGTGAAACTGAGCTCTGGAGGCAGCAGTATCAGCCATGAGAAGGCAGTGTGAACTTTAGAAATGAACACCTCGTAGAAACGTCTGCAGGGAAGGTACCTGAGCTCCCAGCGTTCCAAGGGATGGACAGGAAGTCTCCTGGGGGCTGCAAGAAAAGGACCTGCAGTGCGGCCCCAGGAAGGAGGCTGAGCACGTGCTGCTCTGAGCAAGTGTGGGCAGGAGAGAGCAGGCGTGTTCAGGGGACAGCCAGGCAGGAGGAGGCTGAGGGAAGGAGCCCTGATCACCTGGTGTCCTCCTTAAAGAGCAGGGCGGGTTTGTCGACTTAGGTTTACTTCAAAGTGTTGTGGTGTGTTAAATCCTTTTCCCACAGAGGCATCTGAAAACCTCTTCCTCAAATTATTATAGTTTGAAATATTTTATTAGGATAATATTTTGTGACCTGCTAATAAAAATGGATTTAATAGCAATCATCCATTTCTTTGAACATACTCTGAGAGAAGACTGAAGTCATTTTAACCAAATCTGAGGCACCTGTCATGGCTACTGTCAATTTTGTCATATTTGGCTCCCCTGTATGACAGAGGAGCCTGTGAAGACACAGCACATTTCTGGTCTTGATCTGCCCAAGAAATACTTGCACATGGGCCTCAATCAATTCGTGTGTGTGTGTGTGTGTGTGTGTGTGTAGCTGAAAAGAAGCTTCTGGAACCAGAAATGACTGACTACAGGTGCTGCTCCATCCATTCTGCTTTATTGGGAAACAAAATGCTAGGCTCTTTCTAGAGCTCAGCTATTGGGAGAACTTCGTCCTCTGAAATCTTAATTTGGACTACCTACAGGTGCCTAGGACTACATGTTCTTCAGTTTCCATCACACACGCATGTAAATTTAGCTCAATATATATATATTGGAAGTTTAAGAACTTCCTTAGTTATTTAGCCAAATATTTCTGTCTTCTGAACCTTAGAAAGAAAAAGGAGTGAAATCTAGCTATCGTTTACACGAAGTATCTGCACGCTAAATTTAGTGAAAAGCTGTAACTTCATCCACGCGCAGAGAAGGTTCTAAAACACTTTGTGTCTTGCTGTCCTAGGCGCAGCATCTAGAAGCAGAGCCTCAAATGCCTTATGTCAAGACCTCAGGGCCTTCTTGCACGCCCTCCTTTCCTCTCCTCCTTTCCCATCCTTCCTCCTCTTTTAGAGGTCCCAGCCCAGATGGATTTGTGTGACTTAGAGCTAGAAACATTAGTGTGGGCTGAGATGAACAGGGTTTGTAGAGCAGAGAGCAAGGTCAGTCCTCTGTCCTATGCTTGCAAGTGTGTGTGGGGGAGAAGGTAACACCCGAAGCTGTTCCCATTTGGAAAGTCAACATTTACAGGTGATCCAGCTGGGGTATCCGGGGACCCTCCATGACAAGCACACTGAATGAATCTGTCTCAGTGCTTCCTTTCTCTAAGGCCCATTTTATTGGTCTTATTCCATTGCTGAGTGAGCAATATTGGAGGGTTGTTTTCTCTCATCAATAAAGCTTTGAATGTCCACTAAGACATCAGGTTGTAAGCTAAATACCTATTCCATTGCAAATGAATGGGTTCAGCCCAACAAGGTAGAGAAATAATCTACCTGAGAATGAGATTATTTGAATGCCTGACACATGATCAGGTAATATATGCACATGGTGTTTTCTTGTGATGAATGCGTGCTAAGTATGGTTGTAAAATAGCACTGTCATGGGGATTGCAGTGGCTGAGAAATCTTAAATGCACAAGTCCTTCTTCATCTTTCCAGTGGGTGAGGAAAGCGTGTGTCCTGCAACACTGAGGAAACCATATGAAATGGGTGATTCCAGAGAGTGAAGCTTATATGTTTCATAACTGGTAATGAAACAACCATACAGTAAGCACTCAACATGTGGTATTACCACTGAGGTGGAATTCTAAAATTGATAAATCATGGGGAGTGAATTAATTTGAATTATTCATCTGTATGTCTGCTAATCAATTTGACAAAACATTGAGGACATTTTTATGCTATTATTTCTACTCAGCAAGGGTATTCAACTGACTTCTTCGTGAAGGGTAGAGAATAAGAATCCCTACTTTATTATTTGGGAAGGCCAGAATCAAAGGAAGCCACAAGAGAGGGATCCATTGCAGTCCCCACCCTGCAGCTGTGCCTCTTTTTAACCCACCGGGCCTGGCCTCTGGTGACCTGGCTGTGTCTGAAGTCTGTGTCACATGTTCTACCACGTGTATCCCTTTGCCAGTGTCACCCACAAGCCCTAGGGTTGTACTAAAGACTTTTGAGAACAGTAGTGGTTTCTTCAGGCGGAGTGTTAAGCACTCTAATACTGTCAGCAGTATTAGTACCTACTTTATCACAAAATAGCCTTTCAGGAAAAGTCCTGCATTAGCTTGCAGTTGTAATTCCCCTAAATTTTAAAAACATATCATTTTACAATATTAAAAATGCATGTGTCAGAGAAAAGACTGCTATATAATCTCGTGTTTTCTTTTCAGATTTTACCTAAGTGAAGCTAAAACAAGTTTTGTTTTAACTTGCAAAACAAAGGAAAAATAAAAAATAATTCTATCTTTCTCTCTAACAGCCTTTTAGTCTTGCTGAGTATAAGCCCACTTGAGGCAGAGGTGAGGTTCAGCTTTCAAGGGAAGCAAAGCATTTTAGAAAACAGATGCAAAGGAAGCACGGATGGCCTTTAGAGAACCGAGGTCACAGGGGCCTGAGAGGAGGCTGTATTTGGTTGCTGCATTGCTGTCACCCATGCGTGTTAGTGTGACCACCGCCCCAGAGAAGATGTGGCACTGTCGTCACAGGGCCCCACATGTTGCCCCCTTTCAGCCATCCTCACCCCTCCTGCCTCCCACCGTAATCCCTGAAGGCCACTGTCTTCCTGTCGCCTTAATTCAGTTATTTCCAGAATGCGCTGTGAGTAGAATCCTAAATGATGAACGCTCTAGAGAGTGGTCTTTCTCACTTGGCACAGTTCCCTTCAGCTCCATGCCAGGGCCCGCAGTATCAGGAGCTTGGTCCTTTTTTGGGTGAGCGCTGTGTGAACGCACCATTCCACTGGAGCAGGGAGGAGCCTGTTCAAAGGCGCCCTCTGAAACTGCAGCCCGCCTCGCAGAAACGCAGCCCTGACTGACTGGGTGTGAATGCAGCGGCACCCACAGAACTGGGATGCGCGATGTCCCAGAACTCACTGCCACCGGCCTCTGTCTGGGACATCAGGACTTAAGAGATTCAGCAGCTGGAACCCTGGGTCCCCTCACGGTGGCTACTGAGGACGGGAGGTCACTTCAGTAGCACCAGAACCAGCACCAGCACCCGCCAGGGATGTGGCACTCAGAGGAGAGAATGACTCTTTAGTGTTCTATAAACTCATCATCGAAACGCTTGGTGTGGAGTTTGGGGGTACCCAGTGGTTAGTGGTTGAGGGGTGCACTTGATTCTTTCATGTGGATGTGGATAAAGCAGAAGCACTAATATAGTAAGGGAAAGTGGAAGTGGGAGTAATCCTAGTATTTAAACACATGCCACTAAATGTGGTTGTTTACAAAGGTTGCCCTGATGATCTGCAGGTTTTAATGTATTGGGAAGACTTTAATGTTTATGTGCTGGTGGGTAAAACTAGTTTTCAGAAAAATTAAGTAACTGAGATGGGGCTGCTCCTTAGCGTCACCTTTCTCCTTAACTAATTACTGAGTTTCTCTTTCTGAAGGGTGTTGGACAGGAAGCTGTCTTAGTCCACATCAGAAATGTAAAACTCCCTCCTGTCACTCTGCCCATTATTATTTCTCTGTGCCCAACACGTGCTCCCCCATTACAAAGGGGTCCCATCCCCTAAACCCAGTGTAAACTGACAACGTGATAACTTCATGCCTTACACACACTTTCCCGAGTCTCCTAGATCACTGGCTGCTTTGCACTGAAGTTTCAGTGCTCAGTGTTCAGGCAGGAGCCGTCCCTGGACAGCTTCTGCCTACTCCTCAGCACATGCCTGACTCATCTCCAGAGACTTAAGTCCCTGCCTGTGGCTGCAGCTACATTAGGGAGTTGCCCTGGGCTGGGATCTGGAGGGGCCTGAGCAGCTCATTCCCAGGATGGACAGCATGGGGGATGGTGGGGGTCAGGGCAACAGAGAGGCTGACTCCATCCAGTAGGAACAGCAGGATGGACAGAAAGTCATTAACCAAGTACTATCTACACCCTGGGCCAGCCCAATGCCTAAAGTAGTTTGGAGATTGCACCTCATCTTGGCACTTGGCAGAGAAAATGTGCTAGCTAGGTCAGCACTGGAACAGAGCTGCACGAGGATGCTTTGCAGGCTCATCCTTTGAACCACATGTGTGTGCCCAGCTGTGGCACTGGCTTTGGATCCAGGCTGGATCAAAATAGGTGACCCTGTCAGCCACATTCCTGGGCAGCACATGGCGACCTTCTCCCAAGACGCTGGTGCTATGAATCGAGGATATCTCTGCCTTTGCAGAGGATCAGCTGACCTTCCACACAGCGGGCTGCTCAGATCCTCTTTGCCTTGGGCTGGGCCCTGGCACTTGTCCTGCCACACATCTGATCCCTGACTTGTCAGAGTCCCTGAAGATAATCTGAGCTCAACTACAGGCTCATGAGCTGCGCCCTGAGTTCTCAGGCAGCACATTCTTCCTGAACATGGGGTCGCGTTTTGCAATTTATACAAAGACATTTTTCAGCCAGAAGTTTTATGTGGACAGAGAAAGACAGTGTGGTCTTGTGTCCATTTTCACAATGGAGCAGCAGTGGGCTGTCACTTCCGTGACCAGCTCTCTATTCCTGCCCGTTCCTGCCTCTGCTTCCCAGCCCGTGCCTGTGGCCTGGAAATCGTACTGCTTTGGAGTCAGACCAGCTTGGTGTATCCAGCCTCTGCCTCTGGGAAAAATGTGCTCCAGGAAGTGGATTGTACAGGGAGGTCAGATCCAGTGAGATGAAGGATGGAGTACGCTGCAGCCCAGATTCGGTGGTCCTCACCTCCTGCCCCTGGGGAAGCCCTGGCCTTCTATTTGCTGCGATTCCTGTGAATGTGGAGGAGTTGGAGGCCACAAGGGCTTTGCAGACTGCACTACCTGCTGCTGCCCTGCAGGTATGACAGTGGAGAGGGCGCCCTCTCCACGGGTGGGCATCAGAGTGAGGCAGCATCCAAGTGTCCATGCCCAGGGAGCTCCAGAAGCTCAAGTCCAAGGGGCCCCGCAGGGCTCCCCACTTGTTCCCTGTGTTCTTGGTTCTGCAATGTGGCTGGCAAAGTAGACACCACCACTAGCTGCTGGATGAGTGAATGCAGGTCAGGGGTGCCTGGAGCAAGTGTCTCGGGGGTCCAGTCAGGGCACCTCCTACTCCTGCCCATGTGACTGACATGGGCCCTTCCATGCCTCTCTTCTCCCTGGGAACCCATAGTGCTCTGGCCTCTGTAGCTGCCATGCACAGCCCATCTGGCAGTGGCCACACTGTTCTTTGGTCACATCATTGTGTATCCCTCTCTACTTCCCCCTGCCCCGTCCACCCGGGGCCATTGCACACAGTGGCTCTCCATCTGGAAGTTTCCATGCAGACATTCTTGCTGTTATTGCCATGTTATTGCTGCCATAGTTGGCATTTGAAGTGGACCCCAAGGCCCATGTGGTATGGGCTGGGTGCTGAGCCAGCAGGGGATCTGTGAAGGGTAGTCTGGTGGGAAGAAAGTGGGTCACTGTGCTGTGCCTTTGAAGGGATGTGCTGACCCTCGTCACTTCCCGTCTCCCTGTGCTTCCTGACTGCCATGAGCGAGCAGATCTTTTCCACAGGACCCTCCATGAGGTCCTGTGCTGCCACAGACCCAGTGTATAGGGTCTCTCACACTTTGAGCCACAGCTAAACTTTTCCCTTGCTGAGTACCTCTGGTGTTCTCTTAAGGCAATGCAAAGCTGAAGAACATGCTCCTCGCCTTGTTACCTGCCCGTTTCAGCTGTATCCACAGCCTGGCAGGAAGCCCAAAGCTTGAACCATGGCCATGCCTCAGGCACAACCCTGTTCTGCAGCAATCTGCCAACCTTTCTGGGCCTGCTCTGCAGGAAACCTCTGGGCACAGCTAGAGTAAATTCCCAGAAAGGACTCACATTTTCCAGCTTCAGTGGGCCCCAAGAAACTGTCACCCTTGCCTAGTGAGCTATCTTCTGCTGGTCACTTTTGCATCCTCCTATATGCCTGCCTCCAGCCCCAAGCTCTCCATAACTGGCTGGTTCTTTCCCTTCCTCCAGATCCTCCCTCCTGACCTGCACACCTGACCGGTCCTGTGTCTGGCTGGTTTCTGTGTCCTGAACATTTCTTCCCCCATTTTTTGATCAGCTGCCCTCACCTGGGTTGGGTTATAGGTGGCCTCTCTGGAAGCCTAACTGTCCCACTTGCCCCCAACCTGGGACTCCTTGTCTGCACTCACATCTGTGTCTGTCACTTGTCTCTGACACTCTTCTTACAATGGTCTGTGTGCCCTGAACTCCTTGAAGATAGACACTGGAGCTCCCTGAGAACTGGAGACAAGGAGGTGCCCACCAGCCAGTGTTCAGTAATAATACTTTTACCTGGTTTGCTCTGAGCTGCCCACAAACATGGTGAACTTTCAGATGGAACAAGCCCTGGTGACATCTGACTGTAGCCTTGGCCCCTTGACCTGTGCTGTTCAATGCACCCAATGTGTGGTGATTCTTTAGTGCCCTGTAGGACACTCCCATCTTGTCAAGGAACTCAAAGGTTTCAGATCCACCACGACTGCTCCAGAAGGCACTGCCCCTGCCCTTTCTGCAGGGCCCAAGTGTGGCTGAGACTTGTGGGACAGGGTCCTCTGCACCAGCTGCTGCCTGTGTTGGGAAAGTCAGCCAGAGATGGGAATCTGCTTCCCTCCCTTCCTGGGCTTAGCCTGGGTACACCTGACTCATGGCAGGTGCTCATGCCATAGACATCCACAGTAGTGTATTAATATTATGTTGTTTCTAGGAACCCAGCTTGCTAGGTTCTCCAGTGGGAGGGAGTAGACAGCCATGCTTACGTTTACAAGGCCCGCTCAGGGGTCTCTCCTGTCTGTGTGTCTCACACTAGATATGCAGCCCCTGTCATCTCTGGTTTCTGTCTTCTCAGCACATTTTATGTTTCGCACTGCTGCTTGTTAAACAGCATCATTTTCTCCACCACATCAGCCGTCTTCAAATGAACTCTGATTTCAGCACTAAGGGGATGAGGGATGCATTTGAAATACACACTCAGAGGCAGTGAAGTACCCTGGGAGGATGCTCTTTCCAAGTCACGCTGCACCCACACAGTCACTGCCTACAGAACCTTCTGAGTCAGCCTGGAGGGACTGAGCTGGTGTCTGTATATTAGCATTTATAGATTGTCACAGGTGGGCATCCCCTCAGGGTCCCCAGGATTTTAGTTAGCAATGATGGGTTGATTGGCTGAGACAGAAAAAATGAATTCCCCAAGAGCTTCCAAACAGTCCCCCTCTCTTGCTCCTGTCCTAAAAAACAATTTAAACCCACATTGGGCGTGGAATACAATCCCTTCCATTCTAAGTACAATCCTCCCCGTTCAGCATGTACACTCACAGAATGTACAGGCATAAAGGAAGCTTTCTATTAACTTTTCCCTGAGACACATGAGCTCCTTTTGTATTCCTCTTTCCTGAGAGACAGGACGTGCAGGCATTTACTTACTCAGAGGGAAATCAGAAGAGTTAAGGGCTCCGACTGGGCTGTGGACTGTGAGCGCTGTCTTCATAGCTCTCAGTGTAGGATGCTCTGTGGACATAGGGTGACCTTAAATCACATCACCTCTGCTCCTCTAGGTCCTGTGGCAGCCCAGAAGTGCACCTTTCAAGACAGGGGAAGACAGAGGTTGTTGGTAGGAACCTCTTGTTACTTTGTCATTGGGTGTGGGCAGGGGATACTCAGTGCCTCTCTGCTGTTTATCCTCAGGGAGACCTGCCCAACTCCTCCCAGCAGGCGCTATAATTGCCAACAGGCTCTGAGACCCTATTTGGGCTTCCAGACTCCTCGACACTCACAAAGCCTCAGCCTGCACTGAGAGATGACTTCCCCTCTCTCATTGGTTCCCTGTTGGCTGCGGCCTCGGAGATGGCTTGTGGGGAACTGAACTCCACACTGCTCCTGCATTTTGGTCATGCAGGTGCCCAGCCAAGAAGCCATCTGTGAGGACCCACGGCCCCAACAATGAGCACAGAGCAAGTCTGACTCACACAGTGCTCAGGGCCAAGTGGGGTCAGAGGTGCTCCCCTGGCAGCTCTGAGTGCCACCTTCCATGTAAGTAGGTTCTATGGGTGGGACCACCCTGGAACTCACATTTCAGAACCTGAGAAAGTCCTGGCTTACTTTTGCAGTCTGGCAGCACATCCTAACAAGCAAGCGATGAAAGCTACGGCTCTGTGGATTCCTAAAACACTGCTGTGTTCAGAGCCCTGCATTAGCGGGGTTGTAGCCAGACCAGGATTCCAGGTCCCTCTTCCTGCTCCTGAGGGGCAGCTCCCCCAGGTCTGGAACACAGGGGCGCCCTCTTCCTACAAAGTGGAGGCTACGTTTTACATCTCTGCCTTCTGTGACTGATGCCTCAGTGGAACTAATTGTGCTACAAGCTCTCCAGCAGCTTTCTCCGGTTGCTAGAAATCTAAAAATTGTGGAAGAAGAGAAGGAAGAAGAGGGTGGGGGAGGTAGAGATGGGGGAGGAGGGAAAGCAAAGGAGGGGAGGAGGAGAGGAGCATGGAGGGGGCAGAGGAGGAGGGGAAATAGGAGTGGAGGAAGAGTGGGGACAGGAGGAGGAGGAGGAAAAAGGGGAGAGGAAGAGGAGGAGAGCGGGTGGAGTAGGAGGAGCAAGACTAGCAGGAGGGAGAGAAGAGTCCTAGAGCACTGGCACCCAGCGAGCTCCTCTACAGGCTCCTGCAGCAGAAGCATCTGCTGGAAGGTCACCACGGACTGCCCAGATCTGGCTGGGCCGATCAGCTCCTGAAGGAGGGGTCTGCAGGCCCTCCCTCCAGGCCTGCTCACCCCAGCCAAGCCCCTGGATGCTCTGCCACCCACAAAGACATCAGCTCACCTCCTGGCTTCTTCAGCAAGGGCTTGGCCCAAGGTTTCTCCTCCTCCCCAAGAATCCGGAGAGCGAATTCTCCAAGCTGTTCCTGTAACTTCTACATTGTCCCAAAGGCCCAGCTGCTGCGATCTGAACACTAGGGTGCCCTTGAACCTCCCTCCCGGCTCAGAGCCTGCTCGGGGATCCGTTGAAGGTTAAGCGCTGCGTTCTGGGAGACCGCGAGGGCTGGAGAGTCACGCATGCGCACACTCACTGCAGCCTCTGCGGCTTGAAGGCTTCCAGGCAGACTCCTCTTGCCACCGGAGGTCTTGAAAGTCTCTGAGTTGTGCCTCATCAAGAAGGAGCCTCTGGCTAGGGCTTAACTCCTGCCGTGGCTCCCCTGCCCAACACCCCGGCACCCCTCATTGCTGCGCAATGGGCAGTGCACTGCTGCCTCTGGCTGGGCTGTAAGGCTCAGCGGGAGATTGCCATAAAGGCTTCCCCAGGAGCACAGTGCTGTGCCCAGGCCCAGGGTTGTACTCGCGGCCACCAAGGCTCCCTGGATTCAGTGAAAACCAAGGGGCCTCCCTCAGAAAAACTGCCTCCTCCTGTCAGAGGTTTGCAGTCCATTCCATGACCCGCCTCCAGGGTGAAATGCCATTCAGGACAAAGCCCTCCCTGAGAAACCTGCCTAGTCAGTTAAGCAGCAGGTGACAGGGTCCCATGAGGCCGGGCAGTGCCTAAGACATCCAGGCTTGGCCCTGAGGCAGTGCCTGAGGGAGGAGCTTGTGGCAGCTTCTGGGTTTGCCCTTTCATTTGCCCAATATGGCTCAGAAGCCCCTCTGCCAACAGCCACCCAAGCCCACCTTGTGGCCTTTGCTTTGACAGCCACACAGCTCACAAGCCAGGCCTGGGTGCTCCTGACAGCTGGAGCTCTGCATCAACACTTAGCCCTGAGCGAATCAAGTTCTGATTTGTCTGTCAATAGGACTTAGCTGCTTCTCTTTTGATTTTGAAGAGTAGCATGATTTCTTCCACCATGGTTAAATAGTTTTGCTATATATTATTTTTTAAAATGGAGTCTTTCGTCCTTTGTGAAAATACGAACTAAAACTACATGTGTGTTACATGACGTACCTTGCCATCTTCAGTCATTCCCCCCTTTCTTCAATGAGAACAATCCTAATGTTTCTTTTTTCTTATCTTCTTTAAGTCAGTAGGCATGTTACATTCTGAGCAGATGGACCCAAACTCAGGGTGAATTATATTTGTAGTTTCCCTTTATTTTCCTGTTAGTGTCAATGATCCTTCCTCAGTTGAATATGTGTCCTTGTATGAAAAGAACTCCTTTAGTGACCCCTTTCCCTCCAGACACAGCACAGGAGGTTCACAGATGGGTGCCCCCATAGGAAATGCTTGGATACCCTTTATATGTTGGCATTCCCTGATGAATTCCTAGATGAACAAAGGCGGACACAGACTATCCTGACTTCTGGGTGGTAGGGTGACAGCTCATCCCTTAGACTGACTGTGCACAGCCCTTTCTTCCTGCTAAAGTCCTGTGTGGACACCTGATCTGGGGTGTGATGCTGGGAGAAGGCAGCGTCCTGGGGAGGGATTGGCTCCTCAGTGCCCTTATGCAACCCTCCCCACTCTGTGGGCACAGTGAGCAGCTTCCCCCTGGGAACCAGGAAGCAGGCATCACCTGATAATCTCCTGGCACTTTTGGACTTCCTGTCCCTCAGAACTGTGAGAAACAAATTCCTGTGATCAGCTCCCCAGGTTACGGTGGGTCATTACAGCCGTCCAGTGGCCGCTGAGAGTAACATAGTACTACAGAGCATAATCCTACCACTATGAAGGAATCTGCGTACTAAGTCCTCTTTCTTCTATCAGTTGCTACATAATACATTCCATAAAGTGCAGACCTTTTCCTACGTCTTTCTTTTGCTTTTCTGGTCCTGATCACTTTCTCTTCATTATATTATATTATATTATATTATATTATATTATATTATACCAGTAATGGTGGTGCTGGTAGGGAACAATGGTCTCCATCTATCAGGAAAGTATAAACTGCTTTATACAAAGTAAGTAGGACTTTTAAAGCTTTATTGATGGATCCAGCAGCAATGAGCCATCACACCTCAGTGGACACCCACTGTCATGGTTTATGTCTGTGTCCCCCAGGCCTCATGAGTTTGAATTGTGCATTTGTTATTCGTTCATTGTCTAGTGCTTGGATTGATGGGTTAGTGCTACACCCACTTAGGGGTGGAGCCAGGATGTGATGTAATGGCAGGAAGAAGCTGTGTCTTGCTCTTTGCTGGTTCCAGCTTGCTGTGTGCAGCCGCCATGAACTGCAGCCCAGCCATGCCCGCCTGTCTTGGAGCCAACTGAGTGTGGACTGAAACCTCCAAAAAACTGTAAGAAATAAATCTTTCCTTTCCCAACTTGGGCATCAGGTATTTTGTCTCAGCGATGAGCATAAAGTAACTAAGACACCCACCCTTCCAGCACTTTGGCATTCTGGTCCTGTTAGGTTTGAAGCCCAGCATAGATGCAGGATAGCTGTTCAGTCTTGGGAATTTTCCTTATAACCTGTCACAGGATTGCTGTCCCACTGTCACATGGGGAGGATTAGATGAGGTAATCTGGTTGACAGTATAGGAAGTGGTCTGCACAGAGCAATCATTTTCACAGGACCGGTCTTCACCTAAACATGTGTCACCATGTGGTCGTATTCACTGTCGTCTCCTGGGGTGTTTGTGCCTGCTGTGTTCCTCTTGACTGTGGATTCTCCACTCCTTGTCCATGTGATTTTCCCTCTGGCTCTGTTCATCATTTAAACTATCATTTAAATCCTCATTTATTTCATTTCAGGTTTGCCTGAAGTTAACTAGACACAACTATGTTTTATGTTATTCTAACATTTGTAAATTCAGATATATTTGTTCACATCACTCAGAATGATTTTTATCATCAACTTAAGCTTTGGCTGTGAGTAGCAGAAGCCTAATATAAAGCAGCTGAAATAGGCCAGGTGTTCCTCTCTCCTTCCTGTAAGTCAAGCACAGACATGAGCAGGTTTTGGTAGGTCCTTCATCGTCAGAGACCTCAGATACTCTGTCTGACTTGCTCTTGTCCCTTTCAAGTTGTGTGTAGCTTTGACTTTATTGATAAAAAGGATTCCTCCCAATCTTGGCTTCTTATCTACCTTCCATTGGTACTGTGATAACTCGGACCCCGGTATGAAATTCAAGGAAGCAAGAAATTAAAATTTGGGAAGCAAAGGCTTTATTTCCAGGCCTGGTGACACAGCCTCCAGGAGCCAATTTGGAGACTGTGCACCTCACAGCTAAAAGTCAGGTCTTTTATCTTATAAATCCACAAATAGCTGCTAGTCACACAATGTAAGGAAGGGGATGGAGGTGTGACGCCCTACAAAGCAGAAATGGCAATTGCAAGTCTCCCTGAATACTAGCAAGTTTAGATAAGAAGAAATCTTGTTTTTCTTAGCAAAGAATAGAGAAGTCTAACAGCAATTAACAACCTTAGTTACCTTACTTTAGCACTACAACTGTTATTTGTAGAGGGCAACAATGGTTAACATATCAATTAGGTAAGATTTTACAATTCTTTACAGAGGAGAGCATTGATTAACATATCAATCCTTTACTCAGAGGGAAAAGGAACACACAGGTATTGCTATGATACAAACGAAGCTATTACAATCTAATGCAATTAACACAATTTGTGACGGGCTATGGGGTAGGGAAGACCAGGGTTGTCAGGAGCTATTACCTCAGGCCTTTAGGAAGTTAAAACTTAACCTAGTTAGATGTGAAGGGAGGAGGGGAGGGGAAGCAGCAGGTGGGCTTATACAGAACAGACCTTATGGCACTATAGTTAGGGGGCCTTAGGTTATAACAGTAGAAGGAAAAGATATCGAGCAAAGGTCAGCAGTTCTCTAAGAGCATTTCTTAGGCGCTGGTCACCTAAGTTTCCCTGTAGCCTATTGGATAGGTTTTCATATGGGCTCACCACAGTGTATGGGGAAGCTGAGAAAACTAATCTTTTTGTTTCTGTGTCATTATGTACTGGTGGTGCTTTTTTATATACCTACTGTATAAAATCCCTAAAGCCATAAGAATTCATGGCTTCATTTGAAGATAGATGCTTCTCTTTCATTTAGGAAAGTATTTTACAGTTTTGTTTTCACAGTTAGTCTTTATATCATCCTGAGTTTTACATGTTGGATGAGTGAGGTTAACTATCACTTGATCCTAACACTGTTGGCTGGAAGTTGCTTTAAAAAGGATTGGTGAAACAAAAGCATTCAGATCCCTGTTGCTTGAACAAAGAGTTGGAAGACGCAAACCAAAAACGGTGGCCAAAGTTCTAGTTGGATGTAAGACCAAGGTGGGGGGAAGCTGGGGTCAAGCAGAACTGCAGACCCCAGGCAGAAGAGCCAGGTGCATGTGGGAGAGTGTCCATGACTGACAGAGTCTGGAAGCTTGAGGCAGAAATCCCTCACTTCCCTAGCTGTGAGCAGGAATTCCTCTTCAGGAGAGTAGGGTGGGGCTCTGTTTTCCATGGCTGGTTTTGTGAGAGCAGAGAGAGGGCCAGAAGGCAGTGGTGGCCTGGTTGTAAGGGTGCAGTTGAAGGGGCAGCGCAGCAGACCGATGTTCCCAAGGGCAGCACTCGTGGGTCCTTGATGTTTCAAGGAAAATTGAGTCAACAGGAGCCAGGAGCTCAGGAGAAAAGTGGCAGCTGTATTGATACTACTGCACCCCATTGGAGTATTCTACCAAGTCTGACATGCTTATTACAGAGAGATTAAAAAAATTTTAAAAATAGAATAACAGAAGTTATAAGAACGATATAAGATTTAGCTGAGGGCCATGGTGCAGTGGGTATCTTGTAGGGTGTAAAGGTATATAACTTGATTTCAGTTACTTTGCTTATAGATCTCGAGGCAAAATGTTTTGGCTCATCTTTTCCTTCAGGAATCCCTATCTAGGTCCCCTTATTGAAATCAGAAACACATGTTTCCACATCTGGTACCAGGCATTGAACAAGGAACCTGCACACTGAGCCGCATCCTCAGCCTTTCTATTTTGAGACAGTCTCAGTAAGTTCCCCAGGCTGGGATGGAATGTGTCATCTTCCTCTTTAACATTCCAGAGTTCTGTGATAATCTTGTGCAGTACCAAAACTAGGCAAAAAAACTCTTTGAGATATAAAAAAGGAGTGAATGTTTTCAGAATTCTGGTTCTCTGTGGACATTGTGTAAATAATTTTCAGCATTAGTGGGATCAGAGAAGTGATTTTAAAAATCTAGCTTTGGACAGCACTGAAATGAATAGTGCAGGCAAATGTGTGGATCCTAAATGTGGTTATCCTTGTGACTAACTCTTAAGATACTTGAAGAGCCCCAAAGGAAGAGCTTGACAACCATGAAAAAGAGATAACAATGTTGCAGAATTTACATGAAAAAAAAATAGCCAAGTAAGGCATCAACACCAGAAGGAAACATACAAATATGAGGAAATTGCCAAGATAAGGCTGCTCTGAAGATAGCGAGGTCCCAAGTGAAGCAGAGTGGTCAGTGGATAGCGCAATGGGAAATGGGCGGCTATGAGAGCTGGTGTTTCCCTGTGGTACCGTCAGTAGTGTTGTTGTTGGTGTCACAGTGGAGTGCACTCCACACACTCTCTGCTGCACAGTACGAGATTCTGAAAG